CTGAGTGATAAGGAGAAGAAGAAGCTTATGAAGTAGTCTTGGTTGTATCCTCCTTGATCGGGTTACCTTCTGCTGTTTTTAAGAATGTGTTGCTTCAGGAAACTTATTGGTGGCCGCAGTGGAAATGGAAAAGAAGATAAGAAAAAGAAAAAGAAAGAGAAGAGGGAGAAGAAGAAAAAAAGCAAAGGGAAAAAGGAGAAGAAAAACCATGATGTTAAAATGATCAAAAAAGAAATAGTCACTTCGGAAGGTATGTTTGTTCAATCATATTCATTTAATCTCTCATCGCTTCATCACTTAAGATGACGAAAAGCCCTTAACGAAAGTTCAACGTCGCCACGATTCGACCAGCAATGAAGGTAAGTTATAATATATGATCCTTTCCTATTTTCGAGCTCATAATTCACATTTATAATCAATTAGCCGTCCTTTTCTTGTTTAGAACTGAATCCGATACAAAGAATCCGATTGTATAATATTTAGATCTATCCTCTCTAACTTACTAGCTTCACTGTAGACTTGAACAGGGCCACCATATACGTTAATAAAAATTGAGAAGTATTACAAGGGCGGAGCAACTCAGAACTGAAGTAGCTGCCTTGATCAAAATTTTGATTTGTGCTGGTGAAAGGCACTAGCCTACGGTTATGCGAATGCAAACGTTTTTTTTTGTGAGGTACTGATTCCACGAAGATTCATACAGTCTCTTGCATACAAGCTTGAGCGTGAATAGGGTGGCAGCTCGTAATCGAAGCGTTCAGATTGTAGTGTTCCGCAACCATTTTTAGAAGTCTTTTTTCCACTTGCAATTTTTTAAGAAGAATCTTCACAAAAGCGCCATCGTGAGCAGAAGCCACGCCGACGACATGACTCCAGTAGCGACGAAGGTAATTGTTCAAATATAACCGGTAACATCTTAATAATCTTAATAGTGAATTCTTGTAGAGCCCGAGTCAAAGCGTCGAAAGAGTCCAGAACAACGCCGTCAACGACACGACTCGAGTGATGCTGAAGGTATGTTCTGGTAATATCAGGCTCTGATCCCAAAAANAAGGCTGTGTTCAGGACCTATTGAGAATAGTGCTCGACCACTTTATTGTTTCAGTATAATGACTTCAAATGTTGTTTGTTTTATTCATCTCCTATTTTATATTTTCAGTAATTCGTGAAGATCAAGATGTAACGACACTGAAAGCGGAACCGAGCGAGGCAGAGCAAATGAAGGCCTTTCTGGCCAGCCTGAGCGACAAGGAGAAGAAAAAGCTCATGAAGTAGTCTTGGTTGTATTCTTCTTGATCGGGTGCTTTCTGCTGTTTTTAAGAATTGTTGCTTCAGGAAACTTATTGGTGGTCGCAGTGGAAATGGAAAAGAAGATAAGAAAAAGAAGAAGAAAGAGAAGAGGGAGAAGAAGAAAAAAAGCAAAGGGAAAAAGGAGAAGAAAAACCACGTTGTTAAAATGATTAAAGAGGAAGTAGTTACTTCGGAAGGTATGTTTGTTCAATCTTTTTCATTTAATCTCTCATCACTTCATCACTTAAGATGACGAAAAGCATTCAACAAAAGATCAACGTCGCCACGATTCGACCAGCGATGAAGGTACGTTATGATGTTTAATCCTTTCTATTTTCAAGCTCATGATTCACATATTTTTCCCAATTAGTCGCCCCATCCCTATTTTCCTTANATTTTCCCCATACAGAGAATTCGATGGTACGTAGATCTATTCACCATTTTTGGCTTGCTTCACCGTAGACTTGAACAGGGCCAGCATAGACGTATTGATAAAAATTTAGAAGTATCGTAAGGACGGATCAACACAGAGCTGAAGTAGCTGCATAGATTGAAGTTTCAGTTTGCACTAGCCTAAAGTTTGTAGAAAGGCACCAGCCCAAAGTTCTGCGAATGAAAACATTTTTGTATGAAGTATGGCTCCGCGAGGATTCATACAGATTTGTGCATACAAGCTTGATAGTGAATAGCGCACACCTCGTACTCGGAGTGTTCAGATAATAGCGTTCTGCAACCATTTTGGAAGGCTCAATTCCATTAATAGTATTTTTTTCAAGAAGAATCCTCACAAAAGCGGCACCGTGAGCCAAAGCAACGAAGGCGACACGACTCCAGTAGTGACGAAGGTAGTTGTTCAAGTAGAACCGGTAACATCATTAATAGGATAACTGGTGAATTTTTGTAGAGCCCGAGTCAAAGCGTCGACGGAGTTCAGAACAACGCCGTCAACGACACGATTCAAGTGATGCTGAAGGTAATTCTCTTATCCTACTATATATAACGCGCTAAGTGTGTCTGTTGGTTTGTCTGTCTGTGTGTGTGTGTGTGTGTGTGT